TTTAATATTTACCTTTTCATTCGTGTCCAAACAATACCTTTGCATTCAGTATAGACTAGAAAAATACAATTGTCTATATGAATGTGCGTTCTTCATTTTTACTCAACATGAAGTTGTTTTTTTTATTTATTTTTTACTCGAGCACAATAACAAAATATTTTTGAATTCCTTGGAAAGGAGGTTGTCAAACATCGCTTTCCAGAGATTCTCTTTACTTTAATGTCTCTGAATTCTCATGGGAAAACAGTGTAGTAGATTCATGTTGACTTTCCTACATTTTGTATTCAGATTTTCTTTTTATTCAGAATCACTCTCTTAGATTTGTCACCGTCCAAACCCAAAGCTTAATCTAATATACAATAGCATATTCTAAGATAATAAGGAATAAATTGACTGAAAAGATATACTGGCACTGTCAATCAGATCAATGGTGTGGACTATCATATAAATTAATATGGTTTTCACTGTTTGATATTTTCGTGTAGATATGTTTCAGCTGGTGTGATGCAGAGTGAGTTATGTGAACAGTTCAATATTTGTATCACCATATTTCCAATAAAAGTGAACTATATTAATTACATGCTATATTCAATCACGAGGGAGGTAGTAAATGCTCCTCCGATCTTTTTGAATTGAAGAAACATAATTGAATCTTGAGAAACATATTGAAGTCATTTCCCGCTGCCTTCTACAAAGGTTTGGAATTCAGTTTATTCCTTGTAGATTGACCGACCAGAAGACTTGAAAACACAGTTCCGCTCTAAATCTATCTTCCTTCAGCATTATTTTACATATCGCTGCGGGCGTGGTAGATATTTATTCACGAATCTTTGGTTTGGCTTGAATTTGAATTCGTATTGACGATTTCAGTTGTCGTGCTGATAAAAGTATTATTAATCAAACATCCAGATTGAAAAAAAAAATATATTTTCATCATTAAACAGAGGAATTATTTAAGATCTCATTTATTTTGACAATTTTCCTGATTGAAACTATTCTTCAAATAATGCTATATATCGACAGGAAAAAAAACAAAACTTTTGTTTGTCTTGTAGAGTTAAACATTGATTTCAAGTGATCTTTTCATGCTCTTAGCGACCGAAAGGGTATGTTTTTTGCCCCCTTTTTTTACTAACGCATCCGTTCAGGACGTAGCAGATCGAGGTTTCCATACAATATTGTTGTTATTGTTGCTCTAAGCCAGTGTTTCTCAATTTTTTAAGCAACGGCACACTTAGAACCAAATAAAAATATTACTGCACACTTTTTAAAGTGTATACATTTAAATATTATGAAATAAAACCATAGATCTTAAAAGTAATCACACAAATATGAACTTGCTTTGTTTCAATGCTTCTATTCAAACATTTTTGCTGAGTGTTTAGTGTGAAAACTGAGCCTGCTCTTTTTATCATGGTTTCATCAATGGTTGGTCGAATGTGCGATAAGCAGACCATCATTATTCTCCAGTTGAGCGTCTTTCTCGCTTTTTATATTTCATGTTATTTATGGTTTAGTAGAATAATTCCCATAAATAAGAAGTAAAAAATTGCAATAAAACTGTTAAAGCCTTTATAGGTAATATAGGTTGTTTCTTTTGTATTGAAATCTAAAATATATCAATGGATACCGTCAAATGTTTTATTTCGATCCCTTAAAAAAACACCTTTTTTTTCAAAATGTATGTTAAAACAGCGTATTTAAGTAACATAATCGAAGAATAGTGAAAAGAATTATTTTTAAAAAGTTTAATGCTTATTCATTTATCCAAATACTAATGATATAACATTTCTGCTTCCTCCCACACATATATATGTATGCCGGTACAATATTTCAGTGCACACTTAAGAGGATCGCTAGGCACTAGTGTGCCGCAGTGGGGCGGTTGAGAATCACTGGTCTAAGAAATATATTTGCCGATAATATCCCTCCAAATCCTCGATCTGTCATCCATTTACAAAAGACCATTAGGCGCATTACACTGCTTGACTTGAATTCTCAATGTCCTGTGTTCAAGATAATTCGGCTGCCTCTTTCTGGTTCAAAGTAAATAACATTTTGTTCATATTTTCATTAAAACTTCATTCCCAATATCCTGTTCTATGATATTGCCAGCATAACTTCTGTTGCCCGAATTCCACTCTTCGTCAGAGAAACAATTGGCCAGCATTCACCGTCATATAGGAAGAATACTATTAGATAGTAAGTCAGGACTCTACTTTATTTCTCATCAAATTTTAACGTCTTAGTAATTTTTTTAGTTTTTATAATGCATCATTTGTTCTTCTAATACGCTTATGTATTTCGGTTTCATATTTTCTATTGTCTGTTAGAACACTTCTCAGATATTTGGTACCTCTTACTTACTGGATTCTGTAGATTGAGCTGTTCTTAAAGATGACAATCATACATTCAGTCTTCTGAACAATTTTTGGTTAGTCCTTTCTTCGAGTTTTTCTTTAGTAACTTGTCTAGTAGTTCGTGCTTTTTTCTTTCTACGCGTGTCAACCATACGATATTATCTGCGGAACTTACGTTAAGATTGTTTTCAATAGTGGACATAGTGATTCGGATTGTGAGTCGAGGCGCTCATTGTCGCTGGCATTTGTTCTTTTCATGTAGAAATTAACGTTCTGCATTCTTCGTACATTGAGTCTACAAATTCATCCGGCGTTCAGGTGGATTTATTTCCAAATGTTTCGCAACATCAGATTTCTTCTACTCAAAAGAAGATGCACACTATTGTGGATTTCTTCTTCTTCTTCGAAACATTGGCGGTGATGGCGCTCCAAAATTTCCTGTCATGTGTAGTTCTTAAATATTTATGTCTGTTGTATTCATACGCAAATCTCCACCTTATAAATAGCAGTTGCTACAATTGGAGTCTAAAGGAATTCTAAGCTTTGGCAGGGATTTGTATTATTTGAATATTAGCCGAAGCCCCCGAGTCGAGGGGGGAACTTTCCTCTCGGGCAGTACCTTTGAATTTATTGCCCAGGACCTGTGGCGTCCCCCAAAGAGAAAGCACTTCGGAATCTTTGTGCGATACGACCTTTAAACCCACTTTAAACCTCGACCTTGGATTACATTCGGTTGCGACGGAGGACCGCTGGCACATAATACAAAACTGAACAGTACAGAGGAAACTGCTAGAGAAATAGTAGTGAATACTTTTAACTAATTATAGTTTACAACAATATATTTTTGGTATCTCTCTGTTTTGCCATTCATACACTCAAGAGAGACCTGGTTATATTACTACAAAGATTCATTCAATGAATATACACTATCACTGTACGTTCATTAAAGCTTTTGTTTAACTCTTAATTGTATTTTCTCCACCTCGTTTTGAAGCATATTAAAAAACATATCTCATCCTTTTCACAGCGCTGACTATATTCATCGTATTCACCGCATCATTTTGCTGACATACGCTTTGAAACAGATTAATAAGTCATATCGCCTGATATGAGATTCTTTCTCTGACGACTGATGTTTCTAACGGTTTATCAAAATTTTGTAGGTTATTTAAAGCCAGAAAATATATATTTTAGAATGTATTACTTATTTGGAGATAATGGTGGAGTAATGGATAGCGGCTCGGATTGAGAAATCGGAGAGCCGAGTTCAAATTCCAGTCGAATCCATTACATTCACTTACGTGCTAATACCCTTGGGAAAGATATGAATTCTCTTCTTCGGTAAATAGCAGGGCAGACCGGGTTCTATAGCCTTGGATGGCAACTGGTCTACCGCAGACAGAAATGACAAATTACTGCGAGAAAAAATATCTGCCTCGCCAGTCAAGTATCGGAATATACATGATAGTTTAAGCGTGTATCACTTATGGCATATAACTGACTGAACGATTTTACTGATAAAAGACCTAATAATTAACCTATAGCTGGGGACAGATGTTGATTAATAGCTTTCGCAAAATAAGAAAATAAAAGCTACTTCTACTTGAGGGCCTTTATCCATTTCATTATCTGCACATCCAATTTTACAATACCATGTATAGCAAAGCGGTTATCCATCTGGTTTCTAAACAGATTTGACGTTGCTTAACTTCGGTGATCTTAAGAGAATCGGTGTTTCAACGATATTTGAGCATAAGTCTGTTTTCCTAGATACTTCCTATCTTCCCTGTAGTCTTCGTTGTATAAATAAATATATTTGCTTCTAAGATAGCGTCAGTTTTGCCTCCAGCAAACTTTCAATTTTAAATTGACCATTGAATCACAAAGGTTTGAAGTTATTAAATATGCATAATAGTGACACTACGCCTCAGATATATTTCACATAATCACACTTTGTCTATCTATCGTAACTTTCATGTATTAAATTATTAATATATTTTACAGCCACAATCTCTTATTCTTATATATATATATATATATATATATATATATATATATATATTTATATATATATATATATATATATATATATATATATATATATATATATCATTCTTTATATATTCATGACACTTTCCCTAATCAGTAAGTCACTATATCCAATCCTGTTTAACATCGCCTTAAGCTGATATTTTGTGATATTTTTTTTTTAATATTACTGACATAATAAAAAGACTGTTTCTTTTTCATTCTCTTCGTTTTATGATTGTGTATTTCTGTCGTATTTATTTTGTAACTTCAGGCCAATGGTTCTCGGAGGTTGTTGGTAAAATTAACTACGTCCATGATAGCCATTCACTGCATTGCAGGTCGGTGAATAAAGCGAAAGTTTTATTGCATAATATAGAAAAGGCAGCTGAATGCAATCCATGCTGCCTTCTTATAAATAGACGCCTACACAACATATTACGCCCTCTTCATTCTTCAGTCGGTCGTTTGTTCTTTGCCTGTTGATGCGTTTGTTGTCGCTTTATTCGTTTGATAAAGTTTTTGAATTATTTTTCTATATTTAATGTTCCGTTTAACTTTTTCTTTATCTTTTGACAGCAAACTTCGTCGTATTGTCTAATATTTTAATCGATGTTTAACTTTCCTTTCTTCTTTCCTTACCATATTCTGGCTTTTTACTTGTCATTTCTTCTTCGTTATTTTCACTCTTTATTCCATCTTTCTTTCCTTTATTTATTCTTCTTTAACTTCCTTCCATTCTTTTTCCACATCGTTTAATTTTCCCCTCCTGCTTCTCTTCTTTAATTTCTACCTCTTTTCCGTCCAAAAGTTCTACTTTCTTTACTCCTTTTCTTCGTTCATTCATATGTGCTTGCTTCATTACTCATCATTTATACTCTATTCCTGTCGCCTTACCTGCCTTCCTTACTTCTTTCCTATTTCCGCCATTGTTCCCTCCATCCTCCCACTTTCCTTCCTTCTTTCTGTCCTTCCTTCCTTCTTTTTCCGCCATTGCTCCCTCAATCCTCTCACTTTCCTTCCTTCCTTCCTTTTCCGCCATTGTTACGTCAATCCTCCCACTTTCCTTCCTTCTTTCTGTCCTTCCTTTTCCGCCATTGCTTCCTCAATCCTCTCACTTTCCTTCCATCCTTTCTTTTCCGCCATTGTTACGTCAATCCTCTCACTTTCCTTCCTTCCTTTCTTTTCCGCCATTGTTCCCTCCATCCTCCCACTTTCCTTCCTTCTTTCTGTCCTTCCTTCCTTCCTTTTCCCGCCATTGCTCCCTCAATCCTCACTTTCCTTCCTTCCTTCCTTTTCCGCCATTGTTACGTCAATCCTCCCACTTTCCTTCCTTCCTTCCTTCCTTCCTTCCTTCCTTCCTTCCTTTTTCCACTTTTCCCTCCATAATCCCACTTTCCTTCCTTCCTTCCGACCAAAAGTTCTACTTTCTTTACTCCTTTTCTTCGTTCATTCATGTGTGCTTGCTTCATTACTCATCGGTTATACTCTATTCCAGTCGCTTTACCTGCCTTCCTTACTTCTTTCCTATTTCCGCCATTGTTCCCTCCATCATCCCACTTTCCTTCCTTCTTTCTGTCCTTCCTTCCTTCCTTTTCCGCCATTGCTCCCTCAATCCTCTCACTTTCCTTCCTTCCTTCCTTTTCCGCCATTGTTACGTCAATCCTCCCACTTTCCTTCCTTCTTTCTGTCCTTCCTTCCTTCCCTTTCCGCCATTGCTCCCTCAATCCTCTCACTTTCCTTCCTTCCTTCCTTTTCCGCCATTGTTACGTCAATCCTCCCACTTTCCTTCCTTCCTTCCTTCCTTCCTTCCTTTTCCGCCATTGTTCCGTCAATCCTCCCACTTTCCTTCCTTCCTTCCTTCCTTCCTTCCTTCCTTCCTTCCTTCCTTCCTTCCTTTTTCCACTTTCCCCTCCATAATCTCATTTTCCTTCCTTCCTTCCTTTCTTGATTCCTTCCTTCTTTCCTTCTTTCTGTCCTTCCTTCCTTTTCCGCCATTGTTCCCTCAATCCTCCCACTTTCCTTCCATCCTTGATTCCTTCCTTCTTTCCTTCCTTCCGTCCTTCTTTCCTTCCTTTCTTTTCCGCCATTGTTGCCTCCATCCTCCCACTTTCCTTCCTTCCTTCCTTCCTTTCTTTCTTTTTCCTCCTTTCCCTCCTTCTTATATGTTTCCCTATTTTTCTAGCGTTTATTAGCTACTCCTTAATTTCTTCATCACTTCCTTCTTTTCTACTTTTTTTTTTCCTTTCCTCCCTTCTTTTACTTCCTCCGTCTTTTCACTCCTTTTTTTCCATTGTTCCCTCCATCCACTCTTCCTTCCTTCTTTCCTCTCTCCCTTCCTTCCTTCCTTCCTTCCCCTATCCATCCACACCTTTCTTACTTCCGTCATTTCTCCCTCCCTTACTTATTTTTCCTCCATTTCACCCTTTTTACTTGACTTTTTGCTCATCGTTATTTTTTGGCTTTCTTTCTTCATATCTTTTTCCTCCATTTCGTACATTTTATATTCTTCCTTTTGTTTATTCCATCTTCTTGTATTTCTGCTTTCCAACTTCCCTGTTGTAATTTTCTCCTTTCATTCCTTCTTTCATTAATTGCTATATATTCGTATACTCATCGCTTATTCGCTATTCCTGCCACCATACCTTCTTTCTTTTCTAATTTTCCCCTCTTTTCATTTGCTCCTATATATCTGCATTTTTATTCGTTTGCTCTTTATTAATGCCTTCGATCCTTTCTACGACCCTCTCTTCATTATTTTATTTCTTCCTTCCTCGGTTCTTTCCTATAACCTTGCCTTTTTATTCATAGCTTATTCTTCCTTCCTTCGGATTTATTTCCTTCCTATATGTTTTCCGCTTTACTTATTGAAGGCGATTTATTTCTGTCTCCAAGCCTTTCTTCCGCCATTCCATCATTCTTTCCTCTCCCGCCTCCTCCCTATATACTTGTCTTTTTAGTCATCATTTATTCTCTATTCGTTCTTTCCTTTTCTCGAACATACTCCATTCTTCTTTCTTCCTTTCATTTCTTTCTTCCTTCTCCCGTGTCTTTCTATATGATTGCTTTTTTACTTCTTTCTTTCTTCCTTCCACCATGTCTTTCTATATGCTTGCCTTTTTACTCTTCTTTCTTTCTTTCTTTCTTTCTTTCTTTCTTTCGTTCGTTCGTTCGTTCCTTTCTTTCTTTCTTTCTTTCGTTCCTTCCTTCCTTCCTTCCTTCCTTCCTTCCCATATGTCATTTTTATGCGTTGTTTCCTATTTCTTTCAACCATCCGATCTTTTCTTCGTCACTTTCTTCTTTCCTTTATATATACTTGACTTTTCCAACATAATTTCATCGTCTGTTTATTTTTTCCTTTCTTTCCTTCTTTCTTCCTGTATATTTTTCTCGTGAATTTCTGATTTATTTACACCAAAAGAAAAAAAGTATCTCTCAGGTACTTAAATATAATTGGATTTGATAAAGTTCTATCTTAATATACTATTTTAACATATATTTGCAGGTATATTATATTTCTGTATGGCCGAGGCAAAATCGAAACATATGTTCAGTCTCACTTTCAACAAATTAATTGTCATAAATCCCGAAAATCTTTAAATTTAGTCACAAATGTTAGGTTCACAAGCAGAATCAAATTACTTATCGCGGCAAAGGGCTGTGTTCAACTCACTGTCTAATGGATATTATCGTTATATTTTCATCGGTTTTGTATATATAATGTAATTGGCAAGTTGAAATTTATGTGCTGCAAGTAAGACACTGATTTTAAACTATGCCAAATGTGTTTACTGGTAATAGTAAATATTAGTGTTTATTGTTTAAATTATTGCGTCTAGAATAGAAACGAAATTCAAGAAAGCTGAAATGTAATTTTCTTTCTTTCTTTTGTTACATTAAATCTTTCTAGTAACATTCAAGTAACATAAAAATAAGTGTCTATTTTTCTAAGTGTCTATATTAAACGTATTGTTAATGTTTGGAAATATTCAATCAGTAGGAAAAATATGATTGGGAAGTGTAGTAAACAATGTGACCAAGTTTATTAGGTAGTAAATTTATATGATTTTTCAAATATTATCAAGATAAATGCAGATAATTATTATCAAAATAATAATCACCATCACCAATCCTATTAGCAAAGTGAGGTTCTAGGGTCAATGTGCGGCTAAGTAAGTGACCATCTGATTTTCAAGCCTGACGTATTAATTCATGCGTAGCGTGTCTTCGGCAAGTATACCTAGTGATGGCCATGCCTCTCCAAGTCAACCCACAGCTGACGTCGTCCAGCTGGCAGATTCACCTTGGTCATGGATCCATTATCGTTGATCCGATTGGATTGTAACATTCCACTCTGGTTGTTGACATCAGTCTAGGAATGTTATCATCGTATTGATACATCCCTCTGAAGCCCTGTCAACGTTCATTATGTTAAATGGTTATTGACGCTACTAGACGATTCCGTTGGCATTCGACAGATCTTTTTTTTTTTTCACTTCAACAAGTTATCACCAACCACTTCAGCAGAAGAGCATGCCAAGAGAGCAGGTTTAGGCACCAATGACACGATTCTAAACACTGGGTTATGTACAAGTCACCATCGTAGTTTGATCTGATATAAAATGCAAATAAACTGTGTAATTCCTTGTTAAAAAAATATTTTTTACTAAAGGAAAAAAAAAGCCAAAAAAATGATTGATCCGTTTTTTATGGCTTATCAACCGTTTTTAGGTTATTTATTGCCAGAAAATAATTTTAGGCTGCAAGAATTTTTTTGTTTGTTTGTAATAAATATTAGTCATCAATTAATTAACCCATAGCTGGGAGAGAAGTGTTGGATTCTTCCATTTCCCACGTAATTGAATATAAGGAAACCATCAGGAATTGGAGCGGAACTCTCCAATTAACAATTCCAATCCATTGTCCATTACCCCAATGCACATACAAGCTTACAATACCTTGTATTCCCAAGCGGTTACCTATCTAGGTACTGATCAGTCTCGACGTTGCTTAACTTCTGATTTTATGGGAATCGGTTTCAATGTCTTTTAAGCCAAAGCGTATATTCATAACAAAGAAAGCTTCATATATTCTATAAAAATGAATATTGCCCAACTTGACACAAAACTGTTTTAAATACACCGGAAAAGTTGAATAGTCTCAAGTTTCTCTATTAATCTCTTAATCCAGTAAAAATATATAAAGAAAAGGAAAATCACAAATGATGTGTGGGAAGCAATAAAAACTGCCGCAAGCAAAGTTAAAATGACGATGGTTAAAGTATTTCAAGGAACACATAGAATTAATTATTTATTCGGTTGTGAAAGATCTCGTTAATCAAAGATATGTTTCCGTGTTCAATAATCTTTGGCTTTATATATAAGCCATAATTAATGGTGGAACAATATAACATAGTCAAACATTAAAACTTCAATGAACTCCAATAATGTATTGATCATAGCAATAGATGTTTAGTCTAAAATTTCTACAAAAATATTTTATTAATACAAACTCTACTGGTAAAATTTGACAAATCTAAAAAGTATTTACCGTCATTTCACGAAAATAATACGTATTTTTTACGGCAAATTAGTAGGGGTACGTATTATAAATAGACTTAATTTTTTTTCAATATTGGTTTATAATAATAAATACGTACTTGTTGTTCTAAAATAAGAAAGATATTATACAAATTTTCATTTTAAATCAAGCAATAATAATTTCATTTTTAGTCAATAAATTTACGTACTTATGGAACATTACCTTGATCGTCTTTCTTTCCCAATTTAAACTAAACTTTCTTCCATATCTGTATATTGAGCTTTGCTTACTCTACCTATAGCTTTGCTACTTGATTTACACTTTTTTAGTTCATTTTTATTCTTCTCCATAAAAGTTTGTTAGCCTCATTCAACTCATATTCACTAGTTGAAGGTCTGTTTCCTATTCTTTCTGCTAATTCTATTAATTTTGTTTAAAATTTGCACATTTTGATATTTTGGCGGTAAAATAAAATGTTATGTTTATCGGGAAAAGAGCATGTTAATTTTCAAAATTATTTTAGCCGATTAGTTTCGATTTTATTCTTAATGTTAAGGTCGACAAAATGTCTTCGAAATTATTTGTTTCTATTTTTTACAAAATTTATAGATGCGTATTATACATAAAGATAGATAAATTTCTTAATTTTTGTATCATTTGTTGAGTGCGTATTATTTATGGGTGCGTATTATTTTCTATGTATTATTATTACTTGTAAGGTTGTTATTAGTGAATAGACGTCTCAATTTCATTTATCTTTCGAGGGTTCGATACTGCAGGAGAGAACATGTATTTATGGGAGTAATACACACTGTTTAAAGAAGAAGACATATGAGAGTCTATTTCAAATACGAGTATCTACTAAATAATAACATTTGAATTAATAAAAAGCCGGATTAAAATAACCCCATTAATGTTTTTGTTTACGTAGAATTGAGATATCGACAAAAATATTCTTTCTGAGTGAGGAAGTGTCTTTTCCTTTAAAGGGAAAACAGGCTTTGCTGGATGAGCAATGGCGCATTCTTGAACAAACAGTGATTTCTCATACAGACTGGTCGCGGTTTCGATCCTTACTGGAGAACACATTTTCTTTATTGAACTTTTTCGAATAGGCAAGCCGATGTACGGATATACACACTGTATAATATAAAAATAAAAATAGGGCTTTTATTTTAAATTCGAGTATCCAATGTAATAACGTTTGAATAAAAAAATATATATACCAGATGAAAAAAATAAAATCCATTTATTCTTTAGAAATATATATAGTAAGACAATTTCGCCGGAAAACATGCATAAATCACAAAGTCTAAACTCGTTAAACAATATAATTCACGCTAGGGGACTGAACGATTAATTTTTATATCGTATAAATT